ATCACCTGGCAGCACAACACAAACCAGCCAATCACCAGGCAGCACAATACAAACCAGCCAATCACCTGGCAGCACAACACAAACCAGCCAATCACCAACGAAGACAATACCAGTCAGCCAATCACCAACCAGCACAACACAAACAAGCCAATTACCAACAATCACAGCAGGAAAATCATTAGGCAGCACAACAACAGCTGGCCAAATGCCAACTGATACAGCACCAATCAGCCAATCACAGACAAAGAAATCACCAGTCAGCAAAACACCAACAAAAACGGTACCCGTCAGTCAATCACTGAGCAGAACAACACCGCCGAGCAAATCACCAAGGATCACAGCATCAGCCGGAAAATCATTAGGCAGCACAACAACAGCCAGCCAAACACCAATCAATACAGCACCAGCCGGCCAATCACAACCTAAGAAAGCACCACTTAGCCAATCACCAACAAAGAAGGCACCATCTAGCGAATCACCAAAGAAGAAGGCGCCAGGCAGCCAATTACAGGCAAAGACCACACCACCTAGCCAATCACAGACCAAGAAGGCATCACTTAGCCGCTCCCCAACCAGAACACCAACATCCAGCCAATCACCAACCAACACAGTGCCAGTAAGCAATGCACCAGCCAAAATCATATCAAAACCTAGCCAATCATCATCTAGCCAAACACCATTAAACCAATCAACAACCGGCCCAAAAACACCAAACCAATCATCACTCACTTCAACATCCAGTCAATCACCAACCAGTTTAACAGGAGCTAATCAATCCATAAACGGCTCGACCACATCACTCCACGATTCATCTAGCTTCACATCACAAAACCAATCACTGTCAACACCATCTCACCAATCACAGACCAGCTCAGTGCCATCCAACCAATCATCATCCGGTTCACCAGGAAACACAGTCAGCGGAGACGAGCGTCCAGTTAACATTTCACTGCTCGTCAAGCAGGCGAAAGAAGCCCTGAGGTCATCGTTTCGTAGGATTCAAGGTAGGTTTATAAAGGTTTAGATAGAGAATTCAATTCAAGCTTAAAGCCGCCATTTTAATTGTTTTGATGGTAAAATTTTTAGAGAATACTGGTGAAAATTGAGGCAGTTTGTGTTTTGTATTCAATTCTGCCCAGTTCAAAGTAGTCCCACCCCAGTCCCTTTAGAGACTACCATAGGGGGACGCCAAAGTCTGACATTTTCAAATCCTACTCATAGTGGTTTTAAAATAATAGACATTTTTGGGAAAAATGCTTATTGGCTTTCTTGGTGAGAGTTCGATGAACAGAAAGATACCTCTTCCATGTCTTTTGAGCTATTAGTTAAGCTTATTTTGAAGAGTGGAAACATGGAAAAAACCGCTAGCCTGGCTTTGTCCAAAGGTAAATCATACACTCGCTGACATATCTAAAGCTCAGTCATGAGAGTCATGAGAGTGGTATTGACCTCTCATCTAACTCTTGATGAGAAAGTAAGAGAAACTGTATTTCCCAAAATATAATAGATTAGGGGGAAAAAAATCATGGTTATGGCAACAAACTATAGACAACTTAAAGGAACAGTGTGTAAGATTTGGTGCCATCTTGTGGTGAGGTTGCAGATTGCTCACTCCTCCCTTTCCAAGACGTCGTTAATGTGTGCCGCTGAGTGCAAAACTGTGGCAACGCCGTTCACCGCGCTCAGAGGCCGTCTTTGCCATAACAACACTTCTTTAAGGGGCAATGAAGGGCAGATGGTTGGTCACTCTGTGGCTCACGTTACCGCAGTTTGACAAGCGTGTTGATGAATTAAGGAGGCCTAATTCACGGCCAAACACGTCAAGAGGACCTGCACCCTATGTAGACATGAACGGCTCATACTAAGCTGACGAAAACACGATTCTTAGTTTCAGGTGATTAAACCCTAATGAAAGCAGTTATGAATTATTATTTCTGCTAATAGATCGTCTGTATTGCTACACGCTGGCCCTTTAATAGCTGTTGATCTATCAGTATTATAGGCTACTATTTATGTTTTTCCCTGTTAAAGCTTTTTTGGGGGGGGGGGAGAGTTTTCCCTGTTTAATGATGCGAGGGTCCAAGGACAGAGGATGTCGTATGCTGTACAAAATGTATAGCCCTCTGAGGCAAATTTGTGATTTTGGCATGTACAAATAAATTCAATCGTATTGAATACTTTTTGTAGAATTAGTCTCCGCCAGTCCAACAATATGAAACCCATCCACCAAGAGACCTCCACACCTTTTATAACCTGCATTGGCCCTTGAATGTTCGACATAACTTGTGCATTGAAGAATCCTCCCATATTAAAGTACTTTGGTGAATGGGTTGCACTAAGCAGTTGTCTGTCCTGAATCATTAGATGTGTTATCTGTTTTGTGCCTTTTGGCGGAAAGCATTCCAGAGGTATTCTTGCAAAAGAGTTTTTTAAAAAACGACCCTGATGCCATTTCTGCAGCACTAGAAAGTTGTGTAATATGTCTTTAAATGTGTTTAACTGCCCCTTTCACAAGGGAACAGAAGGGAAATAGCTTTTATCTGATTAAAACCCCTGTATGGTACCTGCGCTTGTGTTGGACGTGGCTGACCGAACAGACAAGCTGTGAGCCCACTGAGCAGATGGTGTTATTGCAGGATGAGGAGCCATCGTTTGATGGTTTATTGGTGCGTTTGACCGGAACATTTGCAGGAGCCCGACGTCTCCAAACGAGCGCTGACAGATGGCGACTTTTGACTTGAAGTCCTGACCTGCAGATACTCGGCTATTCATCTGTTTCAGTGGTTCTTAGTCTGGATGCACGCAGATCGTTTTGCGGCGGTTGACATGAATTTGATGCAACATAAAAGAAGCTGATCCGCTCCTCTCACTTTTTAAACTATAAAATACAAAATGATTAGAAACCAGAAATCCTGCTTAATGTAACATTTATTTCTACAATCAACACTTGAAATGATGAAGGGACTTGCGAATGACAAGGTGGTTCAAAATGTAAATCATACCTTGGTGTTTCATTTTTACTTCTTTACTTTAAGATTATTAAACTCATCCATTAAACTCATTCATTAAACAAAATTAACGAAACCTGAGAAGTGACAATGATTCCTTGGTGGAGTGTGTAACTGTTTGTTTGTTGTCTCTCAGCAGAGCCGTGTGTGTTTCCCTGCCTGAATGGAGGACAGTGCGTTCAGTCGGAGTCATGTGACTGCAGCTTGTATCAGGCCACTGGACACAGATGTCAGACAGGTGCACCACACACCTGCTGTTTAAATGTTTAACATGAGAAAATCAACCAACCGTTATAACAACTATTGGGAATGGTGGCAATTGAACTAGATTACATAAGTCTTTTTAGTTTATTTCTGTGTTTCATACTGCAATTATCAACAACGTTTGGTTTTAAATGTGTCCGAAACACACATTTTACTACATTTATTGGACAGCATTTGTTCCTTTGCAGATTTAGATTATTAATACAAAACATACTTAAATAGTACGTTATGGTGTATTATTGAAGATACAATCTATGCAGCAGAATATAAAGTCATTAAAGTCAGCTCCACCTTTACCAACTGCAACATTAAAGTGACGCGTACTTTTACTTTTGGTACTTTCAGTAATGCTTGAAGCTAATGCTTTGACACAAAACTACCAACAGGGTGAGATACTTGCATCTATTTCCAAAATAAATGAATTAACTTCATTGTCATTTTCTGAATGTTAGTGCAGTAATCTGCTTTATTCTGTATTGTTTCCCTGAGAAAAGAGCTGCACAAAAAGCTCTATTAAAGCTGCTCTTGGTAACTTTTAGTCATATTTTCTCAAACTGTCACTATATCCTGCAGATATTCTCTGCCTCCTTCTGGTGCTCTTAATGGCGTCTGCAAGATTAGACCAACCAATCAGAGCTGAGCAATCTCTACAGCTTGGTTTGTGGTCGATGCAGTGAAGCTAGCGCGAGCCAGAAAATGACGTAATCATGCAAAACGTGCGTTCAACTGTCACAAACAGTTCACTAATAGAAGCGCTGTAAACACGTCTACGGATTTTACAGAGACAGACAATTCACTTTTAAAGAAACAGTACGACATTAGGGGTGAATATCAAACTAAATGATTTCTCTTGTGTGAAGTAAATAAAAGTCTTTTTAGACATGACCTTCATTCCATCATCATTCCTTTTCTTCCCTAAATTCTGCGGCCCAGTTCCAAATCCCGGCTTTGAGAGGGAGATGACGTGTCGGTCGTGGGGTCAGTACAACTTCGAGACCTTTGACGGCCTCTACTACCACTTCCCCGGTCGATGCACGTACACTCTGCTGAGGGACTGTGAGGAAACCACCCAGGCCAGCATTGTCATCCAGGTCAGTAACCCCCCCCGACTAGAAGCTGCCCAGACGGTTTGGACTCGGTGGCGTCCTGCTCTAAAAAACACTTGTGCTTTCTGACTCCTGCGACGTTCCAAGTCTCAGCCCTCGAGGTAAAAGATTTGCATCGGAAGATTAGTGAAAGCTATCTGGTTATTAGAGTCAATTACCATTAAATACTGCAATTACCCACGATGCCTTGAAAGCATCTGCAACAGACCAGGACTTTGTTTCCCGTGAAAAGGTAACAGATACCATATCTGTCTATGGGAAAACCAAACTGAACAGGGGACACCAAGAGATCCAAACGCATTATGATTATTCATATGTTTCATAAACAAAGAGAAAATATAAAGTTGAAATGCAGCAAATCAAAGAAGCAGAGCATGTTAGAGGGAGGTGAGTGGACGTTTTTCTTCTGTGTTAACTTCAGGGCTCAAGTTTCAGCGTTTAAACCTCTTTCAGGCAGAGCTGGGGCCGAAATAGTTGTCTGTGATTTCTTCTTTTCATCCGGTTATCTCTTGTTTTTTCTTCATTTGTGCAGGACTGTAGCTGGAAGAGTCTCTGCTGGACTAATTGTTTCACTAGAATAGACACATCACTCTCTTTCAACGAAACTTTATTTTACTCAAAAGTATAATCTGGTTAAAACAAAGAGAAAAAACTTCAGTTAATCAGGAGAACTTTTAAAGTGTCAATAAGAAGTGATGTAGTCAATGGAGGGAAAACATGAAAAACCACCAGTATGATGTCTTAAAAGGTGAAATGCATATTATTATTATTATGCATTGTTTGCATCTTGCTGTATGCAGGTCCACAATGACCCGGGCTGCAGCTCCGCCCCCTACACCTGCCACCGATCCATCAGCCTCTTCCTCCCATGGGAGGGTGAGGTTCGGCTGCACGCGACCAACGTCACCTTCAAGGGTCAAAGGTCTTCATTTATTTCTTATTTGTTTGTCAAAGGCTGCTTGCTCTTTAAATGTCCCATTTTACATGACTAAAATGATAATCTCACATTTCCTTTGTGTGTAGATGAATGCCGTGTGTAGAGGAGGAGGTGGCGTCTGTATCACGGTGCATTCTCTGTCTGTTGTCTGTAGTCTGCAGCTGCCTCATCACATCCACGACCTGCAGCTGGAGCGGATCTCCCAGTACCTCCTGGTGACGCAGCAGCACGGCTTCACGCTGGCCTGGGAGGGACGCAGCGGCTCCGTCTACATCAAACTCAGCCCGGAGTTCGTGGGCAGAACCTGCGGCCTGTGTGGGAACTTCAACGCGGACGTCCAGGACGACCTGAAGACGAGTTACGGTACGGTCCTTCTGTCTGTAACGGCTGAAATACACCAAATATGTTGACGGATCCCATTTAGTTCTATGGTGAGCAAGAGATCCGACCGCGCGTTGCATCATGGATACATTCGCCGTATCTACGTAAATCTGCGTAATCACGACCCAACTTTAACTTAATGCACATTATGTCGGTCCATTGCAGGGCAGCATACTTTACTTTAAAAAATCGCCGATAATGTTGTAGTCTAAAACATTTTACAAGCAAACATATAAAACATGATAATAATGCATCATGTTACTTTAAGTTCGTCATATGTTTTGTTTGTAAAATATTAAAGTTGCGATCAAATAAGTTTTAATTCACATCCCCGGTCATACTTCACCTATTTACTAATATATATTAATAAAAAGGTTTTCAAGAAAAATGTACTAATTTGTATTTTAATATCAAAATAAAATCACCTTTTCTTCCTGTAAAATGAAATATGACGTGCGCATACATAAACTAGTACCAACTAATTCCAATCATCAATCATTTTGCACAAGCATTTAAAGGTATTCACAATGTAATTATAATCTCCACCCTTCAGTTCAGCAGACCTTTTTTAAGACGTGTGTCTCTCTCAGGTGTGCTGACTCATGAAGTAGAAATGTTTGGGAATAGCTGGGTGGAGGCCGAGCCGCACGAGGCCCGATGTCCCACGGTGCCCTCTGGCTTCTCTTCACCCTGTGCTGCAGTCGAAGCTCATGTCCTGCTGGTAAGGTGTCTGATAACAACAAAAAAAACTGTAGAGAGAGAAATGTGCATGCTTGTATGTTTTTGAGTGTAAAAACTTGTCTTTGTGTGTTTCGTGAGCGCAGAAAGTGGAGGAGGTGTGTGCGATGCTGCTGGATCCGCCATTTCAGAGCTGCCATGACTTCGTCAGCCCGCTGTCCTACATGGCCAGCTGCTCCAATGACCTCTGCAGGTAAGAACACCTGATTCAGATCGAGTGTCACCGAAATCATAGAGGTTCATCCATTGTGGATCGTGAATATCCAGAGCAATTTTAATGGGAATTGATCCATTTGTTTTTCAGATATTGTGATGATTTGGATTGTCTAAAATGGATTCATCCTCAGAGGAGCATGAATATGAGATATTTCTTGTGTACAGTTTGAATTGGTATTAGAAGAAAGGTCAGGGGACAATCATAGACTGTCTATAAGAAGTGGACGTAGTCATCGGGACTTCACTCGTTGGTTTGTGGACTGGTGTTTTGAAGCCTCGAGTTCGACAATTTTGCAGTCGCCATCTTGGATTATGGTCGTGTTTTTTTGCAACTAGTGAACAGAAATTACCATATTTAGACTGAAGAGGAGTGACGTAGAGACACCGTATACGTCCCTGTTGATCACAGTAATGTGAGAAAATGACTCTACTTCTCTCTTGATTTATTACCTCAGTAAA